TACCTGCTGTTGTTCTTATTTACTTCCCCCCCGTGTTAGTCTTTTTTTTTTCTTTTTTTCCCAGCAGTATTTACAAGAGTTGTGGGAGGGGGTTAAGATTTACAGGAACAACTCAATCATTCCAATAAGTTATGTTCAGACAGTGTGATCTAGCAACTTTAAGACTTTATTTTTATTTTTATGTAACCCCAAATACAGCCAACTTTACTGGTTTCTTTAGTCGTCTTTTTAGAAATTAAAAAAGTTATTGAATACCAGGCAGTATAAAGTGCTGTGTGTGGTTATCTTAACATTTGGACATTAATTTGGGAAGACGGGGCAGGATACTCAATCCCTTAGAACTCTAGCAGTATACTCCATACCCTTGGACTCAAACTTAAGAATAATATTTGTGTATAATAGTTTATATCTATGACTACCTTTTTATATTGCAGAGTAAAAACTACAGAATATCTGTTCATAGCACAGTCTTTGTACTAGGCAGGGAATTTCCTCTTTTGTTAAATAAACAACCTGATTAGCTAGATAAAATGAAGGGATTTTGTAAACTGACTGCTTATGTCAACTTGTTCCTCCTTTTTATCAGTATTTTGAGCTCTTGGGTGGGGGAAGAATAGCTAAAAGATAAAATGGCTCTAAAACTCTGGAATTGAAACTATTAGCTCTTGGCCCTATGATGATTTATTGCTTTAATTTGAGCAAGTTATTTTAACTCATACTCAGCTTTACTTATCTATTAAATATTTTATAGGTCCTTGTGTGCAAGAACTTGTGGCAGCTATTCTTTAAAACATTCTGTAAAAAAATAGTAATTTTATTTGGAATCCAAACAACTGCAGATAATTATTCACTATTATGTTGGTCTTATTTTCTAAGAAGGGATGCATAAATGGTTAGAACATGCTTGACTGTAGAAGCAGTTTTCAGGGCATGTCACAGATTTGACAGGGTGCAGCCTTTATGCCATCTGGGCTACCAGCAGAGCTATCTGGCAGTAATGGCATTGTTGACAAGTTGTCAAATGCCAGGGGCATTGCATTGTTGGAATTGAGATTATGTGAGGTGCATTACTATAGGGAATTTTCTGGAAATTAGTAATATGTCTAAGATATATAGCTTGCTAACCAGGATTTTCCATGATGTAGATCATCACCATAGATAATTGATTTTTTAAAGAAAATATTTCCAGAACTTTAACCTGGGATACCTAGAGTATAGCTACCCCTGCTATACTATTGGCAGTGGGAATGGAAACTTGCCAGACACCAAGGGGAGTGGAAGGTACGTAGTGGGAGTGGGATTGGCTCCTCCAGCCAGAGCTTTGCAAATGCACATATTCTCTCCTTTATTAGTCTTATCCTGGCTGGAAGGGAAGGAGAACATTGTTTCTCAGATCTCTGTCTCTTTCTCTCTTTTTAGCTCCAGTCCCACATTTATATGATTATCTACTAGAAATATTATTAGACATCTCATTGAACTCTCAGATTCTTATGTTCAGACAACAACTTCCCTGTGGTTCCCTCCTCCACTCACCCTTCCACATTCTCCTTGGAAGGCAGTTCCACCACTGACCTGGCCCACATCCTGTCAGTCACCTGGGCCTGTGGACTCTTCCTTCTATATATCTGAAATCTGTCACTTCCTTCCAACATGCACTTTTTTCCTCGTTCTTTCTCAGCCTGAATTAACTGCAGACACATATCTGTTACCAGGTTTGCCCATTTCCAGCCCAAGTCAGAGTGACCTTTCTAAAATCCAAATTAGGTTATGTCATTTCTCGACTCTAACAACTTCAGTTACTTACCCACTGTCCTCAGGTTTCAGTCCAAACTCTTTATAATTGGACCCTGGCCTTTTTGTTCAACCTTCGTAAGTAACCCCATCTGTATGCTCTCTGCACTTTTTTTTTTTTTTTTGAAGCTGTTGTTTGTTCTCTCAGCCACTGGTCCATTCTTTCACTTGCTCATCGAACATTTATTGGCCAGTTGTACGGGTTAGCTCTGTGCTTAAGGATAGAGTGTGAGGCAATCAACAGGTCCTGAAATCTCTCACTGACCTTTCACACTGTTGGTCAGGATAGACTAGGTTATGCTGCCATAACAAATTTAGCCTGAAATCTCATTGTTTTAACACAACAGAGTTTTATTACTTGTGATGATGCCTATCAGTTATGGGTTTTCAGAGGTCTTCTGTCTTCTATTCAGGGGGCTCAGGCTTATAGTTATACCAGCTGGAACTCACTGTGAGTTGGTCACTGTGACAGAGGAGAGAGACTAGATGGGCCTCTCCCTGTCTCAGCCCAAAAGTGACCTGTGTCCCTTCTGCTCATATTTCATTACCCAGAACTAGTCAGGTGTTCCCATGTAACAACAAGGGGAGGTTGGATACTGTAGAAAAGAACATGAAATATCTGGTGAACATTTTGGTCCCTAGCACAGTCACTGAAATATAATCAGTCACCTACTTCTTGTTGGTCTCATCCACTGGACTTTAAATTTTTCTGAAGCTGAGGCTCTGCAGCTGAGGCTGTATTTGCCTTGCTTTGTGTCCCAGCACATGAGCATACAGTAGGCTTCTGATGATTATTTTGGTTGAATAAATATCCTTTTCGAACTTGGATTCAACTCAAGTCACTTCCCTTAAGAAACCTTCCGTTACCACCCCTCTACTACCTCCCCCTACCCTGGGTTAGGTGTCTCTTTTCAGTGTCATTGTGGTATCCTGTGCATACCTCAACCAAAGCACTTGTTGCCCTGTATTAGTACTCTTTAAATTGTTCTCTTTCCACTAGTTACTCAGTTTAGATCTTTAGGGCGAGGACTGGCTTTCTTTTATATATATCCTTTTGAAAATTCGTATTAAGCAATATTAAAGCAATTTTTAAAAACCTAAGAAATTAAACATTACTGTTTCACCTGAAGCCCTTTGCGTAAATCTCCTTCCCACTAGGTGTATCATTCCCATACTTTTCTAAATTCTGTCACTGTACACATGTCCCTAAGCAATATAATGATTTTTCCCTGTGTCCATGTGGATACCATATTGTCCCAGGAGGTCCACGTGTATCGTGAATTGAAGAGTTCGTATATGGATAGATGTGTTTTGTGGGTTCATTTATCCATCTCTGTATGGGTATCACCTGTCTTAATGACAAGAGCTTCACAAAAGGTCTGATAGCTGGTTGGCCAGTCCCCCACTTTGATCTGCCTCAAGATTGCAAAGGTTTTAATCTCTGCATCTCCCATTCCTGGCTTATGATAATGCCTAATGAATATTTGTTGAATAAATGACAAATTCTTTTTTTTTCTTGGTGTGTCATTTTCAGAATCTTTTAGGAGCTTTGCCATTTAATTTCTTTTTAGATAATTGGTATTTAAAAATCAAGTTTCAGAATAAGAATTTACTGATCAGTACACCACCTACTATTTTATAAGGTAGGAAGGAGTAAAGCCTCTGGTTAAAGTAAGGAATATTTTGTTTTGGTTTTTGCAGTGCATTTTCAATGGGTTGTCAAGGAAACTTACTGAAGAGAAGAACCTATTTATTGGTAATAGCATTTGCTTTGAACTATGACTGTAAAGTAATGTGGCTTGCTTTCTCCAGCCTCAGGATGATATGTGGCCTTACTTCATACAGTCATGCTTTGAATGTACAAAACAATAACACTGGCTAGATTTACTAGTTAATATTTCACATTGATTGAAATTTAGAAATTAAATTATACTGTTATAATATGTTACAGGTTTCCTTTTCTTTGCTTTAGCTTTGAAGTGTCTCTGTAAAGGTCTTTCATTTGGACTATAACCTAATTGGATGGCCCTAGTTGGCATTTGAAGCAAATGCTTAGGTTTATAATGTCTAGTTAACACTTTGCCAGGAAGTGGGAGAACTCTAGGAAGAAGGATTACATGTTGTTATGTATTTAACAATCAGTAAAGGATTAACCCATTTGTCAATTTTTTCTCCTTGAATCTCTCTTGTCAGTTAGGTAGAATATTACTTAAATGTTATTGTCTAGACTCTTTGGGGGACTTTTTTTGTTTACAATTTTTGGCTTGAATTAACAAACATGATTATACTTGGGTTTATTTCTCTTTTGATAAGGAATTTTTAAAAATGTAATATTAGCCATAATTATTAAGGAGAATGGATGTGGCAGTGATCTCCTTTTTCCTTAATGAAAATAGTATATTACTTTAGCGTTATAATTTAATATAATAAAATTAAGGATAATCTTCTGGAAGGCCAGTCCTCTGACATGTAGACTCTGAAGAAGAAAGTAATGGCACTGACTACATTAGCTTTTAAAAAATTACTGTAATTTTATAAAGCGATGGACACCCCATCAGGAGATTTGTAAGAAAGTAACAATTGATGCTTTCATGAATGGATCATACTAAGTGAAATAAGCCAGAAAGAGAAAGAAAAATACCATATATGATATCACTTATATGTGGAATCTAAAAAAAGGACACAAATGAACTTATTTACAAAACTGAAACAGACTCACAGTCATAGAAAACAAAGTTATGGTTACCAGAGGGGAAAGGAGGGGTGGTAGGAATTCCAGATTTGCAGATAACTAACTACTATATATAAAATAGATAAACAACAAGGTCCTACTGTATATCACAGGGAACTATATTCACTACCTTGTAATAAACTATAATGAAAAAGACTATGAAAAGGAAATATATATGTATAATTGAATCACTATGCTGTACACCAGGAATTTTTCAAAAGATTAAAAAATTACTGTGATATTAAAACTGATTTTATTGAGCTAAAGTTCACATAACATAACAACCATTTTATTTATTTATTTGGTTGGTTTTAAAATATTTTAATTAAGAATTATTTCCAATTTACAGATCACGTTTGGAATAAAATGACAACTATTTATGTACCCAGTGCTACCAGAGCATAGCATTTACTCATTTTCTTTCTTTTTTAATTTTTATTTCTTATAGCAACCATTTTATTTTATTTTATTCGTTTTTTGAAATATGGAACACTTCGCAAATCTTCATGTCATCCTTGCACAGGGGCCATGCTAATCTTCTCTGTATTGTATAACAACCATTTTAAAGTGTACAAGTCAGCAGCATTTAGCAACCACCACTTCTATCTAGTTTCAAAACACTTTCCTCATTCCAAAATAAAACCTTGTACCCATTAAGCAGTTATTCCCTATTTGTCCCTTCCTCCAGTCCCTGGCAACCACCAATCTGCTTTCTGTCTCTATGGATTTACCTCTTCTATATATTTTATATAAATGGAATTTTACAGTATGTTGACTTTTTGAGTCTGGCTTTCCCTTTCCATAATGTTCTTAAAGTTCATCCACTGTGTCACATGTATCAGAACTTCATTACTTTTTATGGCTAAATACTAATCCTTGTATGTATATGCCACATTTTGTTTAGCCATTCATCCATTGAAAGACATTTGAGTTGTTTCTGTTTTGGTTCTTGTGAATAAATGCTACTATGAACATTTGTGTCTAAATGTTTGAGTACCTATTTTCAGTTCTTTGGGGGTATGGTATATACCTGAGAGTGGAATTTCTACACCAAATGGTAATTTTATGTTTAACTTTTTTCAGGAACCACCAGACTGTTTTCCACAGTGCCTAAAATATTTTACATTCCTACCAGCAATGTATGAGGGCTCCAGTTTCTCTACATTCTTGTTAGTACTTGTTCTTTATAAAATTATAGCCATTCTAGTGGGTGTAGTGATATCTCATGGTGCTTTTACTTTGTACTTTCCTAGTGATTAATGATGTTGAGTACCTTTTCGTGTGCTTATTGGCTATTTGTATATCTTCTTAGGAGAAATGCTATTTGTTGTTTTGTCACTGAGTTGTAAGAGTTCTTTATATATTTTTGGATACTGGACCCTTATCAGATGATTTACAAATAAATATTTCCTCCCTTTCTGTAGGTCGTGTTTTCACATTCTTGATAATGTCCTTTGATGCACAAAAGTTTTAAATTTTGATGAATTTGAATTTATCAGGGTTTTTTTTTTTGTTTTGCTTCTCAAGCTTTTGTTGTCATGTCTAAGAATTTGCCCTATCTTACCAAATCCAAGGTCATTAAGATTTATCCCTGTTTATAGTTATAGCTCTTATATTTAGGTTGCTGGTCCATTTGAAGTTAATTTTTGTATATGGTGTGAAGTAGGAGTCTAATGAGGAGTCTTATTTAAAAGCTTAATTTCACAGAACCTCTACGTTGTATTTTTAATATCACTTGATTAAACATATACATCAATCAAATACTACTGTGGACTTTATCTTATTTTAAGTTATTCTGCGTTGTATTAATCAAAGCAGAGTTTATATACATTTAAAAATAGTGCTTGTAAGTGTAAGACATTATTTTCACAGTCCATGGGCTCTGTCTTAGTGACTGTATATGGACTCATGGATTTCCTTCTTATAACTCCGTAGTCCCCTCTGAGTCTGCAGACCACAGATTTTGTAGAGGAACATCAGGAGACTCTATCACAACAGGAAGAAAAGGGATAAAAGATGAAGAAAAAGGTAGAATTTCCGAGGCCGAATAGTTGCAGAGCCCTTAAGGGGGAGAGAGGAGATGACTGGAAGGTAGGTAACTAGAAGTCAGTGGTGGAGTCTGTGAGAGCTAGAGAGGAGGGAGTGATATTTTATGGCAACAAGGATGACTGCAGAGTAGAGGTTAAGTGCTGGAGGATGAAGGGGTGGGTGGGGAATATGGTTTGGAGTAGGGATGGAGGTTCAGAAGACATCATCAGAAAGTGGTTGTTTAGGGAGCAGTTGAGGATTCCTTTAGTTTTGGAAATAATGCCAACCCAGCTCTACCTCCAAATGAGGAGTCCAGCTATTTAGCATCTGTCCTAGAGAGTGGTAAGGAAAAAGAACTAGGGAAGTTCTAGATTTTATTTCAACCATGACTAGAATGTTGGTTATGTTTGAATTAGTAACCTGTATTCTGAAACGGTTTTGTGTATGTGTTTGGTTGCTTTCTTTTCATTTCTTAATAAAATTTCCTAGTAGAAGAATTCCAGTTTTATCTCAGCTGAAAGTATGATGCAAAGAAATGTTTCCACTCCTCATGTTAGAGAGACGGTTAGGTTCACAGAGCACACTTAGAGCTTAGGATGATGTGTAGTATTGGCCTGTGGCCATCTGATGGGAGTGGGAATTGGGACACACAGGAATGAGAACCTTGAAGAGGAAGTTGGGACTGTGGTGCCAACTAGGCCAAGGCCAGCTCTTGACAGCACTCACAGGCTCATCAGTGACAGTCCTTTTTTTAAAGTGTCATTGTCAGCTCTGTGTTCAAAGGGCTTTAGAGAAAGGAACAAAGGAGAGGATAGATAGGACAAGTGGCTAAGTCTGAGGGGGAGGGTATACTGGTTCAGATGCCCTTCTGCTTTCACTAGACAGATTGTCTGCTTTTCAAACAAACAAAAGCTACCCTACAGGAAGTGATTTGGAGAGGTAAAAACAAAGAATGAGTCTTAGGTACTTTTTTTATTGTGATGTTTAAACTCTGAATTTGTATGAATGTGTCTTTTTTGAGTTTTTAACTGTCCATGCCACCTCTGACTTCCAGGTGCTACTTGTGAGCAGTAGTCGCCATCCAGACCGATGGATTGTCCCTGGAGGAGGCATGGAGCCGGAGGAGGAGCCAAGTGTGGCAGCAGTCCGTGAAGTCTGTGAGGAGGTATGCCTTGAGAAGAAAGGGTGCAGCTGTACCTTGTAATCGTGAACTTGTCATGTCTGTATAGCTCTAAAATTATCACCACTCACTGAATGAACAGACTCATGGTCACAGAAAGAAGGCAAGGAAGGGGTGATCAGATTATCACATGGTAATGTTTATCAGGCACTCTGTGGAAGGGGAAGGCTTATTGTAGTGACTGTATCTGATTATACCAGACAGTCCTTTGTGATTTCCCAGGGATCTCTTCCAACACTGCCTCTGTTACCTGTGGCAGAAAATCGAGACTCAAATGGTTCATGAGCCGTATGACAGAAGAGGAATAGGCAGTTTTGGCATAAGTGGCTTATTCTCATTAACCTTTGAATGAGGAAAAAGTGGCCCTTGTTCTCCTATGCTTCCTGGGTCCTGGCAATAGAACAGTGGCTAAAGAAACAATTCTGGTAGCCATAAGCTGTTAATGGTGCATCTTGAGAGACAAGAGTATCTTTTATTTAGTGACATGATATTCAACATACATGTATTGAATTCTTTGGCCATGCCCAGTATATCTTACTAGATACTCCAGAATTAACAGTCAAAAGAAATAAAGTCTTGGTTCCCTTATTTTAAGAGCTTACAGTTTTGTTGGGGGAACTGAGAAACAATCTGCAATTCAAAACCAGGAGGAAGGAACTAATGTTTCTCCATAGCCTCTTGCAGCAACAGTGTTCTCTGCTCTGCTTACGTTATCTCATTTAGGAGTCCTAACTCAGTGGTGTCAGTTTTACCACCCCACTTACTTGTCCTGGTCAGATAGATAGTGCTTTTTAGACCCACTTTCTTGTTCCCGAGGAGATTTAAGACCGATTCTAAGGACATGTAAAATAGAGCTTAGAAGGAAAAAAATCTTAATTCTACATTTCTTTTGGTTTGAGCCCTTGCTGATGTCTTCTTGGACTAATTTAACTTTGGAATACCCCAGGAATTCTTTCCTTGCTGTAAACTCCTGCAGACTTATGTTGGCTCATGTTGCTCTCGTTTTATCATGTATCTGGTATCTATAACTAGGTTGTAACCTCAGAGGACAAAGATTATGTTTCCCATTCTAAATCCTCCCTTCCTGTGCCTAGTACACAGCTGAGTGAACAGAAGGTAATTAATACATGCTTCTAGGACAGATGGAACTGTGGACGGAGCATAAAAGTCCTGAAGAAGTACCCAACTGGAAATTATCAGAGTTCTTTTTGACCCAGAAGATTTCACAATTCAGATAAATGTGGTAGGGCCAGTTGGTGGACCTAAGCTACAAAATTTTGACTTAAATCCATTGGCTTCTGAAGGACCTAAGGCAAAAGTGATGTTTGACAGAGTTACCACAGCTCTGTGGATTCAGACAGGTTGTTGGAAGACCTGAAGTAGACTGATGGTTCTAGAATAGAGAGAAAGGAAAAAATTCAGAGACCTTGGGCAAAACTTGCTACTTGGTTTTAAAAGTTGTAGGAGGGGAGTCTGACAGCTTTACCTTTGTGGAGCACACCAGGAAAGCCGGAGAGAGATGTCAAATTGTTGTTACTGTTGTTGTTTTGTTTTTGAATGTTATGGTTGAATTGCCGCTGGGTTATACAAGTGCAGCTAAGATGTAGGGGACTAGATGACTGCAGTAGGAATTGCAGTGAGGGATTTAGAACAGAAACAGGGTTACCCTTTTGTTTCCTGGAAATTATGTACCATCCTCCGGTAGGTAAAAGGGAGAACAGAGTGGAGTAGGAATAAAGGGGTTGGACACGAAAAGGTGAACAGTGCAGCAACAGATAATTAAACTATACTTTTCATGTGTTCAGTATCTTCCCTACCTCCTATCTTAAAGAGAATCCTGAGTTTAAAATTAAACATTGCCTACCATTCTCAGCCTTGACTTTGAAGAATCCTGCTTGACTTTGAGCAAATTTTTTTCCCCTCCAATCAAAGGAGAGTCCTACCATACCCTGTACTTTATTCCAGCATTATTGAGAGGATAAAGAATAAGGTACCAAATAAACCAGATGTTTGTACAAGCAATAAAAACTAGAGAAACATGTCATTACAAAGACAATCATTTCAGTGGCTTATATCAAAATAAAATGTAGGGAGTGGGTTTTCCAATTCCGTGTCTATCAACAGAGAATAAGACTTGGAATCAGAGAAGGTAGGTAGATGTTTTTTATTGCCCTTGAAGGGTAGGTTTTGTAAGCAGAAACCACTATTCAGGGATTTTAGTTTTGAAAATGCTATAACTCTTCTAAAAAAAGCACACATTTAAAAACTTAGTTCTTTCTTAATGCTTATAGATCTGATTGCTATATTTATAAGCAAAAGAGATCTTACTAGTCACTTTTAAGTGGCCTTTGGATAATACCTAGACCAATTCATTGAAGACTTTCAGATGTTTCAAATAGTGTTTATAAATTTAGTTTGATTGCTTTTTAAAGAACTTCAGTTGTCTGACTTTAAAAAAATGAAAATCTTATGAGGCTCTTCAGCAAAAAGTCCTATGAATGTCATGTGTTAAACTTACAAGTAAAGTGAATCTTTGAGTCTTTAAATATTCCCATGGCATATACAAATTTAAGATTTTCAGCTTGAAATCACAAGTCAGAAGTAAGTTATTTGATTATACTTTAAAAATCAAGGTTACCATCTAATAGACCAAATTGTCTTCAACATTACAAAATCATCAAATATGTCTGGTTTCCTTTACCCTTCCTGTTAAACTAGGCCAGGACTCATGGGTGACCTTATAGGGAACACTGATCCAGCTCACTGTAGCTCAGTCAAGACTATAACTTCACAAGGCTGGCTGGCCATCATGGCATTCGTGTGGGTGGAGTGGGTATTGAGTGAGCAATCCGCAGTGTTTGGCACACCTGGCTAACTTTGTGCTTCAGCCTGAAGGCTTTTTTCTGCATGAAGTCTTTGTGATTCCTCTCTGCAGACTTAGTCTTCCTGTGTGTTTCTGTTGAAGGCTGTACTTCTAGCATCATATTTATCATGCTTTATTGCTTTTCTAGTTGTTTTCTGTGCTAGACTTTAGACTGTACAGTCAGGTATCATTCTTCCTTGCTCACTGTTGAAACCCCCATGCTTAACACATGACAAGTGCTTAATGAAATAAGTGCTGACTTTTGGTGTGAACACTAGAGCAGCCTCAAATGCAGTTGAGGTAGGCCCTTTTGGGTTATCAGGAGTAGACATACATCTACTAGTCCCTCAGTTAATTGAGGGAGAAGAATGTGACATTACCACAGCAGCTTCCCAGCCAGGCTGTGCAGAATTGGGAACTTAGGTCACAGTGCAGTCAGACCTTGCTAGCAGTGGGAGGATGGACAGTGGGAAGGTAGTGTGCTCAAGAGCCTGGTCACCACACCAGCGGCCCAGCCCTTCTCTTCCACTGTGGAGGAGCTGCCTCCTAATCTCTTCTCAGCCTCCTGACTTCTGTGTACCACTTTTTGTTTTGTGTTTTTCCTCCCTCTTGCATCACTCACCTGTCTCTTGACTCACTCCGTCTGTCTCATATTCAGCCTTCCCGAGAAAGGACTTGATTGCTTTTGCCTTTGGCAGAGATGCCAGGCCACATCAGCTTCTAGCCATTTTGGAGATGTCTGCCTTAACTTTCATTAGCTGCTGATTTCTTACTCATCTAGCTGAGCTCAGAATGACAAGGTCATGTGCTGTAAAATCATGACAACCTGTGCTTTTTTCTCCTTGTTTCTCTGTAGTTGATTTCTAGTTTCATGGTATTGTGATCAGTAATGATGCTTGAGATAATTTCTATCTTAAAATTGTTGAGGCTTCTTTTGTGCCCAAGTACATGATCAGTCCTAGAAAATGTTCCATGTGCACTTGAAAAGAATGTATATCCTATTTTTTAGGGGTGTAATGCTCTGAAAATATCCACCAACTCTTAGTTTTTCTGTTGTATCATTTAATTTCTCTGTTGCCTTATTTTCTGTCTGGAAGATCGGTCTAGTGATGTTAATGTGGTGTTAAAATATCCAACAATAATTGTATTCCCATCAATTTCCCCCTTTATCTCTGTTAGTAATTGTTTTATGTCCTTAGGTGCTCCTATATTGGGTACATATATATTAATGACTGTAATATCCTCATCTTGTATTACTCCTTTAATCATTATAAAATATCCTTCTTTATCTTTTTTTATGGCCTTTATTTTAAAGTCTGTTTTGTCTGAAATCAGTACTGCTACACCTGCTTTTTTGGCTTTTCCATTTGCATGGAATATCCTTTTCCATCCTTTCACTTTCAATCTGTGTGTCCTTCTCACTAAGGTGGGTCTCTTGTATGCAGCGTATTGAAGGTTCTTGCTTTGTTATCCAGTCTGCCACTCTACGTCTTTTGATTGGAGCATTTAGTCCATTAACATTTACAGTAATTAATGATAGATGTGTATTTATTGCTATTTTGAACTTATCTTTGCAGTTGAATTGGTATTTCCTCTTTGTTCCTTTCTTCTTCCTTTTGTGGCTTGGTAATTTTCCTTTGTATTATCTTGGATTTTATTTAGTTTTTGTGACTCACTTGTAAGTTTTTGGCTTGTGGTTACCCTTTTTTGTAACTCTATTAACCTATTACTAAGACTGTTTGTATTAAACAGATAGTAATATAAGCTCAAACCCATCCTACCAAGAACAAAAAATTTAAAAAAAAAACCAACTCTGTATTTTCTTGCTTCCGTCTCCAACTCTTAATGATTTAGATGTCTTCTTTTACAATTTTGTGTTTATTCTATTTGTCATTCATGGTAGTTATCACCTTTCCAGTTATGAGTTTCTCATTTTTGTAGCATACTGCTTCTTTTCTATTTAGAGTAGACCTGTCAATATTTCTTTTGGCATGGCTTTAGTGTTGCTGAACTCTTCTAATTTTTGCTTGTCTGTGAAATTTTTTCTCTTTCCTTCTATTCTAAAGGATGTCCTTGCTGGATAAAGTATCGTAGGCTGCATCTTTTTTTCATTCAGGACTTTGAATATATCTTGCCACTCCCTTCTGGCCTGTAGTGTTTGTGTAGAGAAATCAGCTGAGAGCCTTATGGAGGTTCCCTTGTAACTCAGTTTTTCTCTTGCTTCCTTTAGGATCATTTCTTTATCCTTGACTCTGGCCATCTTGATTATGATATGTCTTGGTGTGGGTCTGTTTGGGTTCTTCCTGTGTGGGACCCTCTGAGCTTCCTGTACTTGGATATCTGATTCCTTCTGTAGGTTTGGTTTCAGTCATGATTTCTTCAAATACCTTTTCAATCCCCTTTGTTCTTTCTTCCTTTTCTGGAGCCCCTATTATGCATAGATTGGCGTGCTTTATATTATCCCATAGGTCCTTTATATTGTTTTCATTGTTTTTTATTTGTTTTTCTCTCAGCTGTTCTGATTGGGTGCTTTCTGTTGTCCTGTCTTGTAGGTCACTTATTTGTTCCTCTTTGTTATCTAGCCTGCTTTGTACAGCCTTTAGATCAGCTCTCATCTCAGCGAAT